TTTCTTTCCACCCAAATTTCACTCTTACAATCAAACGGACCCTTGTAAAATAGAAAAAAATCCATTCGAGTCGAACATAAAATATGAAATATCATCTCAATCTATAATATTTTGGATAATTTTAACCTTTTTAATGATTATAATCATCTTATGTTACATGATATGTCAAAATTATTGCCTAGTAGGTGTAGTATCATTGATTCCAAATACATCACAACACATTATACACACAATTATTATAGATTATGGGCCACATCGTACGACTGCCTGACCCACCATTTATGTTTGCTTCCTAATTACCAAACATGTCTTACTTTTTCTCTTTAAATTCACCATTCCCACCACCTCCTTTTTTTGTTTATTCTAGTTGATTAAGAATATATTCTTGTAATTTTCCTTTAATCATCACCACCGCGTATATACAGTATAAAGATGCATACACGTATACCCATTAATTACATTCATCGATATAATAATACCTATCAACACCATGAGCCATCTTCACAGATCATTAGGTACCTCGACAGACAATGTCATACCTAACTATCCACGCTACAAAACCCCTTCTGTAGAATAGTAAATAAACAATTTTGATCGGTTTGGTGGCCTAATCTAACCCATATAGTGCGACCCCAAGCGTTTTATCCCTCTACGAAAAAGAATATCCACTATGAAATTGTTAAAAGTACCTATCATCACGATGAGCGATGAGCAATATTCACAGGTCGCTAATTGCCTCAAAAGGCAAATAGCGCCAGACTTAATTTTCAAGCTACACGACCTTTTATACAGAATAGTAACTAAACAAATTCGATCGTTGCGACCCTATGCATTCTACACATCCACGAAAAAGAATGTCCTACATAATTAACCATGATACAACATGCTAAGTAGCATTTGGTAAGCAGTCAAAAAAGCCATTTCTAGTATTTGATAAATAACTAAAATCCTCTCCTGCCGACAAGAATGTATGTGTCCACTAAATCAAAGTAATTACATTACAAGACATAAAGCCAAAAAAAGTAGGCATAATATAATAATACTCTACTCCATTTTTTCTACTTTCTACCCTCTTACCTAACCTAAAACCTAAATTCACCATTGATTCATGGTAGGTGGGATGGGTGGGTGAATCCGGTATATCATGAATCACGAGAACAATATGACTGTACTTGACGAGTATCTTTTCGAGTCAGACACTGACACTCCTTTAACTATTCAAGCCATGCGTCTAACAAGATACCTTATCTTATTTTTTATGACTTTTTGCTTGAAAGATACTTTAAGTACACTACGAGGCTAAGTATTTGACATAATATGAGTAGTGTCATATACTAAAAAGTAAAGATACAATACATGAATTTTAAAGAATTTAAATTGACATATCCATAACTTACTTTTTCAAAACAATCTTGTGCAGCCATGTTCATATCGTGAGTTCGTGTCCGTGCTTCCTAATGTACATGTGTATGTATTCATACTTGGCTAGTTTGATATCGTTATAACACATGAAATCACATAGTCAATAAAGAAAGAAAGATAGTGAACTCAAGCTACTAATCGTCCACGAAACGTTAGTCTCCAAAGTATATCTATAAAGAGAAAGGAATAAAAGGACTTCTCAACAACTTTATGCACTATAAACTTATAGATTAACAATGAAAGTGCAATAAATTCGGATAAAAATATAGTTGTTACCCGGTAATGCTAGGAAATTAGCTTATCTTTGTTAGAAAATCACTATCAGGCATCTTTTGTGTTGCTCCATGGGGACAGCCTTGCTCAACTTTGGGTCCTCAAACAACCTTTTATGAGCATCATCCAATGACTCTGCATCAACATCACAAACTTTGGAATGTTTAAAGAAGAAGTTACCGAAAAATATGATTTAATTTAAGAAACTTCTTTTCCCCAATGTAACCACCAAAGTTTGGGAATCGACTTCCAGGTCATTCAAGAAGGCCACACGTGATCCGGAGATAGGGATGAAGTAACACGTCAAAGTGCTGATCCAGCTAAAAAGTTGATCGTTAATCTTCCCGGGGCTGTTGACAAAGATAGCGAAACCATTCTTGAATGATTGTCTCACAAATTACCAATTCCGAGCATCTTATGGAGCTCCAGGCTGCCTAAAAACTTTCCCATCAAATGCTTCTACCACCAGAAAATTAAAAAGATCAGCTGCTAGCAAATAATAATCATTAATAACAACACAATAATAATATAAGAGTTCTTGGCCCAAAAATATTCTATCCTTTCACAATGATGAAATGCTATCTCATCAGCATTTTAAAGCAAGTCGAGATACTCGGACAAGGTATCCTAGATCATGTTTGCTATATCAATGTGATGAAGGATAGGTAAAGAACTGACAACTTCCTTATCTTTCGATGAATGAATATAAGGAACTCTCCTATACCATATAGAACATGATAACAAGCAAAACCAATCACTAGAAAATAATCCATCATATTGTGAAGGAACCGATAGATATGTCCATTGAATTGCAAAAATTAAATTGAATTTAACGACTTGATACTATATACATGAGAATGATTCTTATAACAAGGAACAAAATGTAACAACATTCATTCTCTAATCCCAGATAATCTAAAAGAGTGAATAGAGGCTCATGACTTGAACTAATACCCTTTTTTCTCAGCCGATTGCCCCAAAATCTTCTTACAGCATCAAAAGTACCAATTCCTAGAAAGAATCGAAAATGAAATAATTCGGAAAAGAAAAACAACCTACAAATTAGGATACTGAGGATGGGGGAGGGATCTTACACAGAGAACATATCAACAAAAACTTCATTGAGCACATCGTCCTCACCGTTTTCCAAGGCAAAGAGTTCAGTATCCTTATCTTCGTCCTTGGAAGAACCCGGTGTTTCCATCTTTGAATGAGCAGCAATGAACATTAACTTCTGAGCCCTATCAATTCCCGCCTGTGAATGAGCATGCGCACTCATGAATTTCGGTAAAGACCAGTTGCATTTGAATCCACATGAAGTTGCATGAAGGAAAATCAGTCTAACGGCGACCTTTCCTAATGACTTGAACTCAGTTAGGTGAGTTTCCCATACAAGCCTACTGCTTTGGGGATTGGCAATCTTCATCTTCCCCGTAGTTGAATCCCTTTGTTTCAATTGTACAGCTTGAGCATAAACCGGATCGAGCCCCTCAGTTCTCCATTTCATAAGCTCCATAAGAGCAATGTGAGCCTCATCCCTAGATACAAGTCGAGTTATTAGCTTGTCCACGTCCTTCTCTTGTTCGGGTGTCAAAAATTTGAATGGGGGTAAGTACTTCCCACTCGTGTCCCGAAACAAATAAAGTGGATCGAGTATAAAAGCAGCAGCCCAAGCCGGGTGATAATTCCTTCTAAACCTCCGGTCAATCACCTTCTCCACAGGTCCTCCAACAATGTGAAATTTTGAACACCAGTCCTTTACCTTCAATCTAAGCTCCTCCCAAAGGGTCAAGCATTGCCCGACCCTCGGTTTCTCCATCAAGATTTCCCGTGCCATTGTCTTGACCAATTTAACTAGAGAATGAACTGCTTCTAACTCGTTCCAAAAATGTGGATTCCTCATCATTTCTTCGATATCTCTAGCGATTGGCTCCTCCACTAACACCATCTTGTAAGATTCATCTAACAATACTAACTGAAGAGCCCGAGCTGAGCCTAATATGTCCTCTACCATTGCGTAAACTGGCCCAAAATCTGACCTTTCATAACCACGCAAAGGCATTCTCAGCAAACCAGCATGTCCATATTCCTGCAACTGATACTTACGAAAACTCAGTCGGATTTGAGACTTGTTGTTAACAAAATTAGCTAGTTTTAAACAATTTTCAGTCACATTCTTGAATAATGGAAGCTCCTTGCTGAAATCCTTAATCAGACTATTAAAACCTTGATATTGACAACAAAGATTAACCATCCAATGGTGCTGATTTTCTAAATTCCTCATTGCCTTAGCCTTGAACTTGTCTGAAACTATACCCACACATTGATGCACTGAATTCCCACAAATTTCAGTTATAGTTTCCCATAAAACTTCTTCTGCATATTTAGACTGCACATAATTACTAGCGGAAACTGCCCTCCTAAAAACACTAGTCCCATTTGGAAGATTCACAGCAACGTTCACAAAACTTTCTTCTCCATCTCGACCATATTCCGTCGACTTCCAACCATCAGAAGCGATCTGAAAGAACATCGCGTCGTGAATTTTAGCCTCGGACTCGGCCTTGGCCTTGTTGTATTTGGCATCTAACCTAGAACCCATAAAGTCTTTTCTTGATATTGAAGGCAATCCGACCTGATTGAGAAATGCCTTGAATTTGGGATGCTCAAGAGATGAAAATGAAACAGAACCACAACATTCATAAATCCAATCTGCAAGAAAATCAAGTGCAGAATCGACCTGGGATTTCGTTAATGTCGGACCAGGTGATGATTTGGGACTCTTTAACCTCTTCACACTATCTTCCAACATTGCTAAAGCTCCCAAATCCTCTTTCCCGCCTGATAACACCAATCGCTGCTCCTGTTGCCGACCGTACATACGCTCGCCGCCGCCACTTGTACCACCAGCAACAGGAACAGCACTAGTACTAGCCATTGAAATCAAGGGTGGGTATGCTAACTCCACTTTGAATCTTGATGGATCAACAATGGCCACTGGTGGGACATGTTGAACAGAAAATTCGGTTCCATCACGACCTTTCCCGCCGTCACCGCGATCACCACTTGAATTTGTACTACGCTTCCGATGGTTGTGGGGTTGCGACGTATTAGTAGTACCCTCAGCCAAACTCACAACTGGAACAGAAGCAGAAGGCGCTGAAGAAATCGGTATAGGAACAGAAGCAAAGTTGGGGCACGTCCCCTTCTTAAGATGCTCGGAGGCGGTTCTCGAAGGATTAGAGGCGGAGAAAGCAGCAGCGCACAAGGAACACCGCAGCTTCACCGCCTTGGGAAAACCAGTTTCAGAATTATGCACGAGAATTGGCTCCAGGTGCGCCCAGTACCACGCACCTTTCCCTTTAATCGCCTTATTCCGTACCATCATCAACCCTTCATATCTCTTGTGCACCGCCTTGGCGGCCACCTCGTCGGAGGATAATGACGCGGAAGCCGAGGTAGATTCCACCGCCGGTGGGGTGGTGGCGTTTGGTGCAGCCATTACACTTCAAAACCTTGTAATTACACACTTTTTAACGTACTGTAACTCAACTAGTTCTACGTAGGATGTGATGTTCTTGATTGCATTTAGCCAGGGCGCGGCGGATGAAGCCGGCGGTCCATGGCGGACTCCGGCGAGTTTCTTTCAAAGATTTTGAGGGTATTTCGAAAAGTAAGTTTCGCAGTACTTCAGAAATTTGGAATCAGTATATCAAAGAAAGAGAACAATGGAGTTATTGTAGACAGAGAAACGACTAGTAGGGGAGGGCGAGAGAGAGAGAGAGAGAGAGGAGTTCAATTTTTATATGAAACATATTCGAAAAATAAAAGAACATTTGGAGGAATTTATTGTAATTTTTATTTTTCTTCTTCAATTCTCATTTTATTCGACAAATTATTTAGAGTAACGCTATTGTGATATTAAATGATAGGTGAAATTAAATAAACCTTTCATTTCACCTATCATTTACAGCCACCTAGACTGTGTTTTCATTCCCACTGGGGATGAATAACATTACTCTATTATTTAAGATTCTAACTTAATTCGATTTTCATTTTTGCATCTTTCTTGAAAAGAAGTAGTTTTTTGCTAATTTGGCTAAATAATTTGTCATCTCTCGATACTTTTGTGTTGCAATCGAGTTTTCTTTTTCTTTTCATTTTATACTGAATTTTGAAAATAGATTCATTTGTCGGATTATCAAATTTTTTATTTTATTTAATTTATTTCATTATTTCATTGTCTTCTCTTTTTCTTTTTGGGTGATGAGGTCTTGTTGTGGGACATAATAGTCCTTTTTTTGTTTGTTTGTTTCTATCTTTTTCCACCATAGAAAATCATTTACTCTATTTTCTCTCTCATCTTATATTATATTTTGAGTAAATTGCCCTTACATTGTAGGATGTATTTGAAAAGTATACTGATACTTCTCTCTTATTATATTATTTTTTCAAAGAAAAAATATAATTTTTTTCTCTCTTTTCCCAAAATTTTAAAATTTTTGTTATTTTGTTTTATTTAGATTAACATTATTTTTATGTTTAAAGAAATTTAATCTAATTTTTTCTACCTTTCTTCACAAGGTAATCCATCTCAAAATATTTTGATAAATTAACTTTTTACTTCGAATAAATTCATTTATGGAGGTGATTTCCATAATTTTAAAGAGGAGGGTAACGAGTGTAATATTAAGATATTTTGGGAGTGTAAGTGTAATTATGATTTATGTTTAGGGTTTTCTTGCATTTTTGACTCATGGTTCATGTGCTCACTTAAAACAAATATGGGACAAAAAAAGGGCAACCTAGGAATTCTTAATTAATTTCACCAATTTTTTCAAGGGACACCAACGTTGATCGAATAGAGCTATCCGTATAGTTTAAGGTAAACTATATAGTGCATCCGTCAACCAATTTGAATTACATGAATTCAAATTGATCGGTAGATGCACGCCACACATGCATCTGTCAAGTTACATGTACAATTTATATGTACATATAGCACGATCCATGTCTCCACTCAAAAGTTCACCAAATCTATTTGCAACCAATGTACGAAACATACGCAAGGGTAATGGACACAAAATTTTATTATCCTAGCACAAATCATTCTATCATTTTTAATTTTGACATTTTACCCTCAAATCAACCTTTACTTGAGCAAATCGTCCATGTTATCTAATTTTGTCAATTCCTTTCCTTGGATGTTTTGTTCCCCAACCATCCCCACTCTCCAACTCAACTACCCCACCCAAACTAGCACCCTGCCAATCATCAACACCGCCATTATCCCTTCCCCTTGCTTCAACAATTCATCGCCAATTGACTCATTCAACATTTTAGCATTTAGTAAACAGAAGTAAACTATTTTTGTACTTGTATACAAATTTCTAAAATAAAACATTGATTACAATAAAGTCAGTCATTTTTTGGTGTAAATAAAGTAGTATTTATGAATAATTATTGTATCGCTTATAGCTTTAAATGTATCCGTATAAGTATGAGACTTTGGTTCTTAATAAAATACCCATAAGTTTACTTATCTACTTTCTTCTTCTTTTCTCTCTATTTTATAACATGTTATCAGCACGAAATTTTAGCCAATTGAGTTAACAAAATTCATTATTCTTGTTGCTCACAAATCTCTATCAGTTGAGGTGAAAAAGTCAAGAAATTCTAACTCAAAGAAAAAGGTTATTATTCTCTTAACTTTGAATTGGATAACAATATGGTATGGTTATTCGATTTGGTCATATCGTTTTGACTATACTAATTTACGATAAATAAATATTTGCTTGAATGTAATATTTTTCGTTTAATATTTCAGAAAAATATGGTATCATTATTCTTAATATTTCAAAAGAATATTGATTAGATTATTTTAAATAAGAAATAATCTAATCAATATTCAGAAGAATATTGTAACATTGTTTGAAAATTAATATTTTATTTGAGTTATTTTGTTGCTTCTGAAGAAGCACAAATTTACACAATAACTATATTTAAAAAAAATATTGTATTGTTATTCTTGATCAAATATAATAATTGTATGTATTATATTCTAGAAGAATTTTATGTCAATGTTTTTGATGAAACATGACTTTATTTAAACAATATTCTATAAAAAATATTACGTTAATACTCCTGATAAAGTATAAACCTTATATATTTTAAATTTCTAAAGAATATCTTATTGTTGCTTTCAAAATAAAAGTATGAATCAATATTCTGAAAGAATGTTGGATTGATAATTGTGAAAAACCGTGACTCTACATATTATGGAGAAGTTTTATTATTTCGGAATCAATGGTGCAGAACTTCGTAGAATCGGACAGCCTGCACTGTTGTGATTGAAATGTTGATATCTAGAATTTGTGGTCTCATCATCGTGAAATTTGGACGGCATATTCAAAATATAATGTTCTTCAAATTCAACAATTATTATTAAAATCCAAGGTCCATTCATGAAAAAAGATGTACGTGAACAACAATCAAATTCTTTTAAATTGGTTGTTTAGTATAAGAGTCGCATATTTTATCAAATATACGAATTGCATGATTACATTGTTTGAGCCTCGTTTTTTTGACCAAAAAAATGCATTTTGGAATGGTAATTTAATAAAGAAATGTGTGGTTAAAAAATAAATAAAAGTTTTAAATTTGTGTGTAATATTATTTTATTAAAGAATGCGTAGTTGAAAATAAGAGAAAGAAATTTGTATTTTAAAAATAATGGGGACCCAAAGAGGGCTAAACAATTATTCTAGTGCAGGCATTCACCTATCAATTCCAATTGATAAGCTGATACATTTTCTTTAATTGATTGTTATGTATAGATTATAATCATTGCATTGTGCTTATTCAATTTTTGTATCCAATTTGCATGTTATACATAAAATATATTATTTGTACATATTTAATTGGTACGTTTAATTTATGGTTGCTCTCGAAAACGTACAATGTTATACTATTCTGAAAGAATATTATTTTCTCTTGAAGAATACGACATTACAATATCTATATTTTAGAAGAGTATGAACATATTATTCCTGAAGAAGATTGTGTTGTTGTTCTTGAAGAACATCCCAATTATATAAATATTCAAGAAAAATATTATTTTCTGAAGAATATCAATCGAAGATTTGATTTGATATTTTATATAATCTCCATAGGATTCAATGGTATGTGATATGGAGTGACAAACTTACTATTAATACTAATTTATTATTCACCAAATAAATAGAAAAATATAAAATTTTTAATAGTGTTTCTTAATTAGTACACTGTACTAAATTATATTGAACCAGAAGTTCAATAACTTTAATATTTTATTATTGGCATGTCCAATTAGATAATTATTGGATAAAAAATTATGCAAAATGAGTATTTAATGAAGAACCAGGAGATTCTTCAATCCAACGAATTCACATATGATATTTGTTCACTATATCATAAATTAGTCATTGATCATCACTAACTAATATTAAGATTAAATTCTTATAATCTTGAAAATTAATTAGGATGATATGTGGGGCTCGTCACCCTCCATATTGATCATTTAAGTATTATTTTTATGTAATAAATATGATACATCTGCTAGATGATTGTATGGTGTTAGCAACCTGAAGTTTGCGAAATTACTATTCAAAATTTAAATTATGAACATAAATTTCAGATTATGCCATCATGACAGCATATCAAGTCAATGCTATTGAGTTCACATTCCAAACTTTTGATAAATTTAGCTCGGAACTACGATAAAGAGTAATATTATTTAAAACCACTGGTGCTTAACGCTAGTGTATGTGGCATCATTTGTGTCATTAGATTATAAGTTCAATTAAATATAAGAATTTATTACTCATTTAATAGAACATATCCTATATTGACATCTAAACCGATGATGATAGCATTATTTGATGGTAAATGGTTTAACACACAAGTGCCTCCAATTATTTTCTTAAGCATTACTATTGATAACAAAGTATTTTTCATTTCTGTTTTAGGGGATGCTATGATGCATCATGCCAACATCAAAGTTCTCCCCGTTATAATTGGTTTATGGTCAAGTCTAATATTTTTCATCTAATTATTTTGAAAGTGTAATATATGTACAATTGATTCACCACAGTGCACTAAGATGAAAATTAAAGAATCTTGAGAATAAATATGTAGTTTTAACCTTTATACAATATCTCAAGTTTTAATGGACGATATTTTATAATGCAGTTTGCTGATTGTCAATTTAAATGAACAATTTTTCCAGCATTAAGGGGATGAATAAAAAAGTTTAAAAATTATATACATAATGCATCATTATATTATCTAGATCATCGTAAAAGATAATTCAAACAAGAAGTTTGAAATACAATCTATTTAGATACATTAATTGATCAAAGAGATTAACAATATTTCACACGCCAATTTTAAATGCTTTAACTCGAATTGACGTCCTGCAAGAACAATTCATTAACATTATATTTAATATATCTATGACACCCC